CCGTCAGCGTTACCGGGGACGGACACCGGCTTCCCGACGGTTGAGTGGATGATATGAGGGTATCACGAGAAACCGCGTGTTCTGAGAACGTCATCATTTGGGTTTAAAGACAACTTTTTCCGGTAACGGCAAACTCTGAGCAGCGCCGCCTCTGGGTCATCGCTTCTTCCCCAAATTCACATTTTTCTTTCCTACTGGGCGATAAAACCTGGAAATAACCACCCGGCAGCTCCCGGGTAGGTTCTGCGGGCATGGGTTTGCCTGCGCGTTGCGTCAGAGCCGCAGTTTGCTCCCAAAATCTCATAGCTGAGATTGTTTTGAGCGTACAAATTTGTTGGGAGCTTTCGTTTCGAGGAAGGGGCTTTGACAAACTGGCCCGGCCATTGGAATGACTTCGGTGTTGCCTCACAAGTGCCGTCCAGCTCCACCGCGAGCTTCGAAGGCACCTAAATTTGAAATTTTAAAGCACTTTGGGCATATTTTCACCCACATGTGATTAAAAGAAGGTTTTGCCTCCTGGGCAAGAAGTTCCTGGGATTTGCGTTGCCCTCCTTAAGAGGACGAGGTGCCGAGAAAGTAAAACTGGGGCCGTCCTGCGGGTATGGGTGGGGACACCTCAGTGACACGGCGCGAGCGATGGTATTTTCTTGGGATCACTTCTGCGGTGTTTTTTCTCATTAAAACCGCGTGTCGACGCGTTATTTTGATGCTGCGGGGGGGGTTCTTTCAAGCCCGCGTTGAAAACTTGGGTGAAACTTTCATTGAGAGGAAATAAATCCGCCAAGGCTGAGCTGTTAAGCACGTTCAGTTATCACCTTCGGTTTCTTCCCGGGAGCTCGTGGCCACGTTAATTATCCCCGGCATCTCGGTCGCCTCGGACCTCGGTGCCGCAGTATCGCAGAGGTCTGAAGGCTGATTTCATTTTCCCTCTCCCCCCGTTTTTCCCCTCGCCAGGCAAGGACAATAGGCTGCGCGGGGCTGTCTCCTCAGCTGCCTTTGTTCTCAGGCTGTTCGTCTCGGGGTCGATAGCATCAAACAGCTCCGGAGCCTGACGACGCGGTTGATGCCGCTTGCAGCTGCGAGGAAGGCGGCCCGTCGACGTCGGCGCTTTTTTGCTAAAAGCGCGCGTCCTGACACCGTCGGCCGGCAGTTCCGCACCGTAGCACCTGTATTCGGGTGGGCCGGTCTGTATTTATCCAAACCCCTCCTTGAAACCTAAGGATTTAAATATCCTGTCTAAATTATGGAAGCAAAATCTTGGAGGTGACTGGGTACTTCTTTCTGCTGCCTTCCTCTGGAAGTTGGCACCGAAGCGCCGGCTGCCCGCG